AATCTCACTGGTTGCCTCCAAGAAGGCAGTTGCCCTGGCCTATTTAAAGATGTTGAAGTTATCTGCTGCCTTTGGATTATTTTTGCCTGTTGAAAAAATGATTGGTTGTGGAGTCCTTGGTGCTCCCTGAGCTTGGCGGTTTGTTTTCAGACGTTTTATGACCCAACTAGGGAACATCATCAGTGCTAGAAGGGAGTGGGGTCTGCTCCCTGTTTATATACAGCGGATTGCCCTGCCAGCGTTGGGGGGGGGTGTGGTTTTCTCCTTGGCAGTGCCTTGATCAGGGTAATGTTTGCCTGCTTGATTGTTTGTCTCCTTGGTGGTTCCTTCATTAGAATACAGGTAGTCCTCGCTTAGCAACTGCCTCGTTTAGCAACCATTCGCAGTTACGACAATGATGAAAAAGTAATTTTATGAACAGTGCTTGCATTGACAACCTTTGCAGGTCTGTAAAGCAAAGGAAAGCTGAAGTAAGATCATAAGTACAATCGTGGTTTCACTTAGCGACCACTTCACTTAACAACCAAGTTGTGGGTCCCAGTTGTGGTTGCTAAACAAGGACTACCTGCATTGTAGAAAGACTAGTATATAAACAGCGAGCAAACCCCAGACTCACCAGCACTGATGATGTTACCTGTCCAGGTAACGAAACGTCTGCAAGCAAAGCGCCAAGCTCAGGGAGCGCCAAGGACGGCACAGTTCAGCCCTGAGCTGCAGAGATTCTCTTCTAAACGGTTTCAATTTTGCATGGCTGGCAAGGGGTGTCTGCAGGGTGTGGTCCAAAAGGCCAAGATGGTGGCTGCAACAGTGCCACTGGAGCTCTGCCCATCACAGAGCTTCGATCGCACGTTGCAGGGTCCACCTTCACCCTTTTGCCCATGCCCTGCGGACACCCTTGCCAGGGGCCCAACCACAGAGTTTCTAGGCTTCTCCCGGAGGGGCATCTGCAGGGGAGGCAGGTGACATCGCGTGCCTCGTGATGTCATCGTGCGCATGACGCCAGGGTTGTAATTGGGACGGTGACGCGCACGTGGCCTCGTTGGGATCCCTCCGGAGGCCTGTGTGCCTGTGCCAAGAAATGCAAGATGTCCTTGTTTGACAGGAACGGTGGCCGTTTTGTCCCCGCAGGTCTGGCAGATCCCAGACTTCCTGCCCCTGCGCAACCTGACAGAGCCTGTGGTCACCCTGGAAGGGCATTCCAAGCGGGTGGGCATCCTGACCTGGCACCCCACGGCACGCAACATCTTACTCAGCGCAGGTAAGGCCCTCTGCACCAGCCCCGATGGCCCTGTGTCCTTCGCCAGCATTTTTCTGGCATCCGAGGCTCCGTCCCTCCCTCTGCCTGGTGGGCTGGTCGGTTCTGGGATTTCTCGAGGCAGTGCAAAAATCTGGGCCGACGGCTCAGCCGGACTCGGGGCGAGCCACAGAACCCTCTCTTTGAAATTGCAAAGTGCCAAGTGGTGCCCAATGGCTAGTAGAGGGAATCGGGCGCAAGGGATGAACCCGTGGCACCAGAAGGGCCTGGACCCCTGGCCGGTCCTCCTCGTCTCTCAGAGCAGAGTGAGGAAGACCTCCAGGCTCCTGGGGGTGTTGGGGAAAAGGGGCCCCACCAGGTCCCCCTGGGACGGAGTTCCACAGGTTAGGTGCTCTTCTCGCCCAGCAGAGTCAGCTGTCTGACTTATAAAGGCGGCGGTGGCCTTTGCATTGTAGGACGGGTTCTCCCCTGGCCACCGTGCCTTCGTTTTCTGATGCCCAGTAGAGTCCTTTGTTCTGCCCCCCCAGAGATACACAAGTTGGGGGAGAAGATGGGGCCCTTTGCAGCCTTGGGAACTCCCTGCTGAGGGAAGCAGAGCTAAGCCTCGGCCTGATTCCGCCTTGCTGCTCCATCAGGGCTGAATCTGGAGTTTTCTGCTCCTTCTCCCTCCTCCCGGGTGGCTGACCAGTTCTCCTGCTCTCGTTCTCGGGGAAGTCGGACGGTGCCTTTTTTTTTCCCTTATAATTTGGGGGGTGGCCAAAGGCGACCAGCTGGGCACCACCGAAGGCCAGCCTTTTCAGCCAGTCCCTCCCCCCCCCAGTGGCTTTGCAATTTTGGAAGATGCTGCAGGGTTGCGGTCCCTTGGTAAAACAACCCTGACACCCCACCCATTTCAGGGGGGCCACAATGGGGGCCTTTGTTGTGCAGGCTGGGGAACACAGCCCCCCCCCTGCTGGAGTAAAGAGGCGAAATTGATGGGGAGGGAGAGGGAGAAAGACACTGAGCAGCAGGGAGGTGGCTTCCAGCCTCGTGGGCTGTCCGTGGCCTGTCCTGAGCCCCCTCTCCGGCCCAGGGGGCGACAACGTGATTATCCTCTGGAACGTGGGCACCGGGGAGGCCCTGCTCACGCTGGACGACCTGCACACGGACCTCATCTACAACGTGTGCTGGAACCGCAATGGGAGCCAGTTTGTCACCACCTGCAAAGACAAGCATCTGCGCATCGTTGACCCCCGGAAGCGCCTGGTCGTGGCTGTGAGTAATGTCAGCTGGGGGGGCTTCCTTTCCTGCCCCCAGCGTGGGGGGGCAGATGCTCCTCTGTCTCCCCTCCTTGGGCAACCTCCAGGTGGTTCACACCGGTGCTCTCAACCTCTTTCACTTTAAGATGGGTGGCCTTCAACTCCCAGAATTCCCCAGCCAGCCTGCTTTAAGATGGGTGGACTTCAACTCCCAGAATTCCCCAGCCAGCCATGCTGGCT